ATATATATATATATATTTAACTCACTTAGAATTTCTTTAAACCGTTTCTAAAATATTAAACCATGATTTTTTATACTTGAATTCTGAAAGTTTAAAACTTTGGGAGATCAATGGAAAAATATCACATTAATTTTAATTTTTATTTTTTAGTAATCTTGATGGTATTAATTTATTTTCAAAATCAAAGGCGTTAAAGGAATAATAAAGGACGTTAATACCCCCAATAGAAATATTAAATTATACACAAAATGATTATTTCTTTTATATAAATATATGAATTGCTTATAAAATATTTTCACTATAACAAAAATTAGTATTATCCACAATTATTTAATGATAATAAATTAATTTCCTTTATTTTATTATTTAATAAAAATATTAATGATTATTATATAATAGTCATTAAAAATATATTTATATTACATCAAAATTTATTATTAGCGACAATTATTTGTTAGAAAAAACTTAAGTCTCACATCGACTAGAAATAAAATAATTAAAGAATATATAAATGAATGATAACTCTCAACTTACAAGTATGTTTTATAAAGTTGAGTTAAACATATAACTTACTATTCTAAGTTGGTATTTAAGAGATAAGATAATTAAAAAAATTAAAGAATACATACTTAGAAGATAACCTTCATCTTCTAAGTCCCACATCAATTAGAAATAAGGTAACTAAAGAGTATTTGTACTCATCTTACAAGTCCTACATCGACTAAAAATAAGATAATTAAATAATATTATAAATCTTTTCTTAAACTTTTAGCGGCAATTTTAAATGCTAGTAACAAATGATACAAAAAGCTATACATTTTTTCCGACCATTATGAGGGTCTTTACCAACATATAGAATAATTGCCGGTAAATGTTTTAGCGACAATACATACAATGGCTAATATGTGAAATGCCGGTAAAAAATTTTGTAGCAATTTTTATTGCCACTAAAAGTCATATTAAATGTCACTAAATATCTATTTTATTGTAGTGTTTTATTAATATTAATTAATTTTACTTGATGGTAAAACTTTGAAGAAACTAGAAAAATAAAATGATAATTAATCGAATATAAAATCTTGTCTTAAGTCCCCTGAATGTCTAGGAACGGAATCCATAAGGGGTAATCTATAACCACTTCCTTGGCACATGAATATGATAATATACAAACTTATTGATCCGTATGCCAAAATAATCAATTTCAATACATATAGATGTTAGCATCAGCTAGACTAATTTGCATTGCACTATAAACTTGTTCTGTATTTCCTTGATGTTAACCTTTAATTAACTTGTTTTGTTCTTATAAGATGTACTATTGTTGTTGTGATACTTGTGTTGATGGTGTATATTAATGCTTGTTAAATACCACACTGCAGAGAACATACATTGGCAACCAGCTGAACATGATGTGCCCAAGCAATGGAAATTTCAGTACATATTATATGCAAAATTATCCGACCGAGTCCCAGATATATGAATTCTGTGTTCAGATTTGTACCTGAGTTTTGAAAATTTCCTTCTTCCTTAATTATGATACAGAAATCATTCCTCTAGCCCTAATTAGTATATTTGTTTATATCCTTTTGTGTAAGTAGTGATTGATTTGCTACCTATTGTACTGATAGGAAAAAAGTTACATATACAACATATTTGCATTATAAAAATTTGGAGTTGAAATTGTTTTGATATAAGATATGTTGGAAATCTCATATGTCTTATTGGTATGATTAAAATATTACTTTTCTTTACTTACAAATTAGTTTTGTGGAATTAAATTAGACACGTCAAAGTAAATAATTTTTGATTATTTTATGAACTTATCTCAAGTTAATTCAATTGAAAAATATATATATATTTTTTGTAAAGGGCTAGAATGAAGTTAGTGCAAAGATAATCTTGGAAACTGCTTCATAGAACTGAAAGTTCCTTGGTGGCTGAAGAGTGAAGATAATTTCATCCAGCCAATGACCTTGAAATCCAACGTAAACAAGCACGTTATGACAATAGAAAAAAGTTGCCGGCACGTGAATAACAAATTAAATGACTCGATCTCAAAGAACTAAATCCAAAACAAGTTATTCTAGGTGCCTAAAATGATGCATCATTTTGTGAACAAGTAGACATGTGGGTGAAAAAATTAGAGTATGTGTGTAGAAAACGTTGTAGACAAGTTGTAGTTACATGGTGGAAACCGTGTCCATAAATAAGGTGATGTGTTTTGGTACCCAACGTGCCTAAATTTTTTAATGGTGTGTTTGGATGAGGAATTTTGATAGGGTAATTCATTTATTTGAAGAATTTCAAATTCCTTGAGATAAAATGCTTTGTTTGGATGAAGAATTTACAAAGAATTTGAAATCCAAGCATTTGTGAAATTCCTTAAAATAGTAAAATTTCAAATTCTCCCAAAAATGGGAGAATTTGAAATTCCTCATATTTATTTTTCTTATTTCACCTATATATTTTATCTTATCTCTTTATTCTTTTAATTATTGGATATTCAAAAATATTTTTAAAATTATTAAATATTATCTTATATTAATTTTTAAAATTATTAAATATTATCTAATATTAATTTTTAAAATTATTAAATATTTAAAAATGAATTAATATTTATTTTTATAAAATTTAATTTAAAAATCTCAACATATAAATATATTTTTAAAATTAGTTTTACTATGATGGAATCAAATTATCATATTCAACCTAACAATTTAAAATTTAAGAAATTTGAATTGACTCATCCAAACAAAATATTTTAAGAATGATAGAAATTGAAATCAAAGTAATTCAAATACCAAGAATTTAAAATTCCTTAAATTTGTAAAATTTCTCATCCAAACACACCCTAAGGCTTTTAAAAGCAATCTCAAGATGGTGTGCTCTACTAAACATACTTAGGAGACAAACTACGTTGCCTATGTAATACAAAAAAAAAACCTTAAAATATAGCAGTTTGTTTACAGCGCTCTATTCAAAGTTTATATTGGCATATTATATGGACCAGTTATATATAATGTGTTGTCTATATCCAGAACCTGTCTAACAATGACAAAAACCTAAAATAAAATTTAAGAAAGACTTTTATATTTGAGATGGAATAGTTATATGTCGAACCTTTGTATCGGCCTTTTTAACTTTACAAAATTAAATAGTGAATAATTTTTAGTTGGTGAGTTTAAAGTTTGAGTTCTGGAAATTTATTTGCAAAAAATAATTTACAGAAATTTCTTACAATTTTTTTTATGAAAAATAATTCACAAATTTTTTTCTTTTAAATTTTGCTACAATTTTAATGATCATAGAAATTTTTTTCATGATAAAAATTTTTAGAAAATGTTGTAATAATTTTATCTTGTTTCTTTTAGATTTTCTTGTAAAAATAAATTCGCAAGTAATGTTTACTAAATGGTAGAAAAATTTCGCAAGTAACTTTTTTTTGCAGATTTTCCTGCCAATTATAATTTGCAGGAAAAATAAAAAAAAATATATTTATAAGTTTAAGAATTAAAAGATTTAACTCAAGTCCCACATCGATTAGAAATAAAACAATTAAAGAGTATATAAGTTGGGACAACACTTACCTTACAAGTTGATTTTGTATGGTTGAGTTTTAGACCTATAATTTACATGCTTCATTTGAAAATTAGATAATTATTAATAGAAATTGTACAAAAATTATCCTTGAATAATAATTTCTTTGATTTTTTTTCTTGGAAAAAAATTCGCAAAAAATTTCACAAGAAACTTTCCTACAAATTTTTTTGGTATGAAAATTTCCTGTGAATTTTTTTGCAAGAAAATTTCTTGCGAATTTTAAGATTCGTAGAAACATATTATCCACAAAGGATATTACCTAGAGATAAAATTTCGCAAAAAAAAATTTGTAAAAACAACATTATGAAAAAATCGCATATAATAAGAGAAATTCTAGTAGTGCTTCTCTGGACCTATTAAGCTATTAAGAATTACAAAATTATGAATGTTATTTGGACTCTTTAGTTTATTTTCAGGGAAGTGATTATAAATGCATAAAACAATAGGCTAAATATAGTTTCAAGATAATGCATGTAACCTAATGGGATGTGTACTTACACGAATCAGGTTGGATTCCTAACTCGGATAAGTCATCTTCCTTGCTCTGATCTACCCGAGATGGTATGAAATCGGTTGTAGGGACGAGTTCCTTCTCTCTGGTCTCCTTGCTCGAGAGCCTCGTATGTATCTGCAAAAAGGACTCCGACGATCAAGTTAGTTCGTGTCTCCTCTTTCACGTATTGCTTATATCATTACCTATGGTGGTTTTTCCGAGTAATCGTGTAACTGCTGTATGGTTATCTTCTGGAGGTGGTTGAATTGTGTATGACGTTGTTAACATGCCGAGGTGTCTTGCTGATGTCTCCTCATCCGATGTGACATGTTAGCATTTCATGGTTTTATTTCAGCTTGCTTAAGGCATCACCTCGGTCAAGTCAACTCATGAACTCGGCTAACTCGGCTCGAGTCAGGTTGGTACATAAGCCCCCCAAGCTCTGAGTGATGTAAGAATGAAAGAGCTGAGGAGAAGAAAGACGCCAGCCAATAAAGTGGAAAAGGGGCGTAAAGAGCCAGAACGTTACGAGCTGAAGAGATACACGTGTAAGATTTGAAAAGTCGTAACTTTATGTGTGTAACAGCTCTATTATGGGGAAGCGGGAGCATGTATGACGCTCAATCATTATGTTTGAGGGTTTTGGTGCAGAGCATTTAATGCGAGAGACGTGAAGGAGGGCGAAACGTCGTGTTGAAGAGGCGCAATGCTCAAGAAGGCAACGAAGAGATTTGGAGCGCGTATATATATAAGTGCAGAAGGCGTGAAAGTGGCTACGATTATAAGTGTAGCAGACGAGAGGTCCGTGTAACATCCGCCATAGTCAGAGTGGGCAAGTTCGTTCGCAAAGAATAAGGGATTGCAGGGAGCATACAATTTCCAGGTATCAAGCGTTATCTTTTGATCTTTGTGTTGTATTTGGGATTGGAATGGGTAAAGCGAAAGATAAAATCGCTGGGAGTAAAGGGAAAGAATCAAGTGTGCAAAAGAGAGGTGGAAATAACAGAAAAGACTCCCACCCAAAAATCCTTGCCACTGGTTATGAGTGGGTGAGGGGAGATGTAGGGAAATATGAAAGTAGGATCAAGAGCGAAATGGAGGCTATACAGCATAAATTGAAGTTCTGTCTTCCTCTGTATTTAGAACGGCTTTGGATTGAACCCTGTTCCGCGGAGGAACGGGTGTTTTTTCAAGTAGCTACTACTCCTCCGTGCATATATATGTATCAATGCCTGTGTAGGGATTTAACTCGCCGACTTCACAAGGGAGGTCGTCCCAATCTGGATCAAACAACCGTCCGAGATCGTTACATCAAAGATATGATACGGAGCATCCTCTGGCTAGGTTGGATCATGTAAGTATGTCACCCGACGTGATTTCCTTCTGGAATGCTGAGGTGACTGCGGAAGCATTTTATAAGGAAGATCCAGCCTATATCACTTATAAAGCTTTGGTTGAGAAGGTTGGACCTGTTCAAGGTTTAGATTCTGTGCAAGTGTTTCTACAAAGATCTATCGCTGTGGTAGATCATTAGAAGAAAAAGTGGGAAAAAAATGTTGCACTGATGTCTAAGCTGAGAACTGAGAATGTCTAGATTGGCTCGTTGAATGCTGAGGTTGGTAACTTAAAGAAAAAATTGGAGGAAAACTCAAAGGCGTTTGAGATTTCTGTGAGATCGAACAAGACATATGCTGCTAAGGTGGAGGACCTTTTGAAGAAGGTGAGTTTGTTAAAAAAAGAAAAGGAAGTTCAAGCGGAAACCGTGAAGGCGTTGGAAAAGAAAACAAAGGACCATGAGGGGAATATGCAAAGCTTGAAAGGCGAGATGGTGGACCTTTATAAGAAAAATAAAGCTTGTCAAGAAGTTATCGCCGCTAATGTGAGGAAGATCCAAGAAATGGAGAATGAGAACAAGAGGTTGAAGAACGAGATGGAGGCTACCGAGTATGAAGTAGTCGTAGAACATAAGAAGGGGTTTTCTAAAGCCTTATGACAGGTGAAGTGTGTTGCCCCGAACATCGATTTGACAGAAATTCACATCAGCAAAGATGTCTTTAAGGGGAAATTTGTTAACAAAGATGACATCCCGGATGATATGAGCAGTGAAGAAAACAATGGATAGTTATATATTTTTTACAGCATAGTAGTATGGTTTGTACTTAGGGTTCTAATTTACTGTTGCCTTCAAAGGCTAGACTTTTGAGAATCTTTATAATGTTCCGAATTTCTTCATGAATGCTCTAATCAATTATGGTATTATGCTTTGAGATTAGTACATAGATATTTGAATGAAACTAGCCTGGTATTGATAAAACGAAATCGGTTCTGACTTGGTCGCATATTTTACAAATGGTTCTTGGCTAAATTATTGGTTATTGCGTTGCGTTGCAAATAATGAAATCAATTCAAACTGAACTAAATTATTGCTCGTTGCAAATAATGAAATCAATTCAAACTGAACTGAATTATTGCTCAGACTTGGCTAAATTATTGCTCAAACTTGGCTAAACTATTGCTCAAACTTGGCTAGATTATTAAGAAATAGGGAGCTCGTCCCAATCTTGGCCAATGTG